CGGTGGGGATGCGGATAAAGATTGTAGAAGAGAGCCGCATGGAAGAGGGCATATCCCCAGAGTGACCGTGGTGCGTTGGCGTGACTGAGGAGGCAGCGAGCGATTTGAACCAAGGTGTGGTTGCGGCTCTCTAGAATGCCATTGTGCAAGGGGAGGTCGCCTATGCTGGCGGCGTCCGAGAGGAAACTCGAAAACGATTTTTTAAGAGGTGGTCAAAATTGAGATTCGACCAAGGAGAACCGAGGAGGAAATCGACGATGAGAAGCGTGAAAGCTTCAGAGGTGAGAAATTCAAAGAGGTCGAGCGCGAAGGCGGTCGACGATGAGAGGCGCGACTGCAGAGTGGAGCACGTCGAAAATTCCGACGACTCGAGATGAATGTCGCAATGATGAGGTATGCGTAGCGCGGGCACGTGTTCGAATAGGTCGCTCTGATTCCATGTAAGAAAAAGAGCTGAAATGATTGATTAGGTAAGGAGCCCAAGGCTCCATAAGTACATGGCAAGGTAAGGGAGAATGGATCAAAGGGGAATCGGAGGGAATCCCCATTGGGATCTCCGGAATCTCCAATTGGGTAATTGGAGATTGTGGGGATCACAATTGGGTGAGGTTGGGATTTAGTGAGTACACCCCGACCCACTAAAACATTCCTAACCTAATCTAGGATATAAAAATACAACTACAAAAGTAGGATTTGAAATCTATTTCTAATACAGTCCATTCATGGTCAACTCAAGCAGTTGGGGATAGTCTTCCCCGAGCAAGCCCCTGCAGCCGCTCTCCTAGTCGCCCTTTTTCCGACATACGAAGTCACACGCAAGATGCTCTTGGGTCTTGCTCCTGCGGACCTCACATTTGCCAAGGTCTCATCCGCGCTCCTTTCTGCCGAAAAGGACAACAGCGCTCAAGCCAAGGCCAATGCAATCCGCGCTCCCGTGCCTCAAGCCTATGCCGCTTCGGCACCATTCCAGCGCAACCGCTTTCCCCCGTATCCCTACGTCATCAAGCGCGGCCTTCGTGCCGGCCAGGTGTGTGGCGGCACCAACCACGCCATCGCCTCCTGCTTCAAGAAGAAGGATGATGAGTGGTATGCCGTTAATGGGACCGCCTCGAAGCCACCAAGCTGGATGGTCAATCGTGCTCCTCGCAAGGTCAATCAAGTCGAAGCGCACGAATCCGTGCAGGCTGCTGTAGCTCCCCCTGCTGATGTGCGCCTCAACATGTTGTTCTCAACATTTCGCAGTGTCCCGGCTCACAAAGCACCTCAGCCACAATAGATTTCACCCTCGACAGTGGGGCCACTCACACAGTTCTCAAGGAAGAACACTCCTTCAAGCCATACGAGACACCAATCCGTCAGTTTTACAACACACGCCAAAGGCTCCTCCACAGTTCCGTGCCCAGCTTTTCCTTCGGGCAGTGTCACCGGCATGTGTGTTCCCACCATACGCCACAATCTCATGGCCGAACACGAGCTCCAACGGGCAGGCATCACCACGATCTTCCCAGCACACTCGGATCGCTGTGACCTCCTTGACCCTAAGTCCAACAAGCTCCTAGCACGCTTCACACTCAACAGCAGCAAGCTCTACGCGTTCACCTGCACCTCTCGCTGCCCTCTCCCAAGCGCAAGCTGCCAACACCACTCTGTGTTCGTGTCGCAGCGTCGCCAACCCAACCATCCTCTACCATCATCGCTTGGGTTACCCCAACTTCCATACGCTTGCCGACATCGCTTCCAAGAAACTTCTTCTTGGCCTCCCGTCGGCGCTTCCTCCACCAACAGACTCACCTGCACCCACCTGCCTGGACTGCACCAAGAGCAAGCTCAGGCAGCAGCCGCACCCTTCCTCCCCATCCGTCGCAGCTGCTCCGCTGGACCTAGTGCACATGGATGTCTGGGGCCCAGCTCCAGTCGCATCCCGTGGCGGTCATCGGTACTTTCTTACACTAGTTGATGACCACTTGCGGTATGTTTCCGTGCACCTCCTGCATACCAAGGCGGAGGCACCTGACGTTATCATGGCATGGGTGCGCCAGGCTCAAGTCACGTTCGGCACTCCTCTGAAGTGCCTCCATTCTGATGGCGGGGGAGAATTTCGCAATGGCAAAATCGATAACTTCTGCGTGGCCCAAGGGATTCGGCAACCTTCACGCTCCCTGAAAGCCCACAGTAGAACGGCAATGCAGAGAGCCGCAACCACACCTTGGTTCAGATCGCTCGCTGCCTATTCAGTTACGCCAACGCACCAAGGTCACTCTGTGGATATGCCCTCTTCCATGCGGCTCTCCTCTACAATCTTTATGCTCATCCCCACTGGCCCGACACCATACCTACCACTCTCTGGCTTGGGGCCACGCCTTCCGCCCACTCTCTACGTATCTGGGGGTGTACCGCATATGTGTTGCTGAGCCCCCACACGGGTAGGAAGCAAGGTGGCAAGCCTGGTCCCAAAACCCAGACCTGCATGTACCTGGGGCACAACTCCGACTCCACAGACTACTTATTCCTCAACCCCATCACCAGACAGCTGATTCGCAGCCATGATGTCGTCTTTGATGAGCCACGCCCCTTCCACTCTGCGACCACAGGCGAGCCTCCTTCACCTCCCCCGACGCTTGTATGGGCAGACTTTGATGCCCCACCTCCGGCCGCTGCTCCTTCTCTAGGGCCTTCTTCATCCAGCGTGTCTCACTCGGCCTCCCCGGTATCCTCCGCAGCAGCACCTCCTTCTTCTCTGCCTTCCCCGCGCGTCCAGCCCGGCTCACAAGTCTCCTACCGGAGATGCACAGTCCCTCCGGTCCCCCCGCAGCCACCTTCGTCTCCGGTTTCTAGTCGCACTCGTTCCAAGGGACCGGCTCCGCCTCTCGCATGGGGACCAGCCGCCTTCTCCATCCGGTGTTCGGTCACCCCGCCTCCTCCTGCCAGGGGTGATGTCCCCTCCATCCGTATTCCCCCTCCGTGCACCTCTCAAGGACCGGCATGAGGAGCTGTTTGACCTTTACGCGGTCTGCCAATTTCTCTCTCACATCTTCCCGGACATTACTGACTGCCCTTCCCTCAAGCTTCACCGAGAACCCGACCATTCCGACTCCTCGCACAAAAGAGGAAGCTCTCTTGGGGCCTTATAAGGAATGGAAGGCAGCAATGGATGTGGAGAAGGAGGCGTTCATTCGCAACAACAGCTTTGACGATGTCATTCCCCCTTCCAGTGTTAACATCGTTGGCGGAAAATGGATCTTCCGAGTCAAACAACTCCAAGGCCTCCACTATTCAAGGCACGATACGTGGCAAAGGGTTTCACCCAGAAGGAATATCTCAACTTTTTCGAAACCTTCTCGCCCACGACCAAGCTCCTGACTGTGCGCGGTTCTTGATATAGCCGCGTGCGGCAACTTCGAGATTAAGTCCATAGACGCCTCCTCCGCTTTTCTCCAAGGCCAGCTCAAGGAGGATGTTCACATGGAATGCCCATCGGTGTTTCGTGTCACTTACCCTGCCAACACAATGTAGAAGCTGAAGCGCCCAGTGTTTGGCCTCAAGCAGGCTCCTCATGAGTGGCACAACAAGGTGAAGGAAGTCCTCCTTGCAGTTGACTTCCATCCCTCCACCTCAGATTCCAGTCTTTTCGTTCGTCACTCCTCCGAGCCCTTCTACATCCTCGTCTACGTCGACGACTTCATTCTAGTCGCCAGAGATCCAGCTGAGATGGCAGCTGTCCAGTCTGCTCTCAGCTCCGCCCTTCTCATGAAGGATCTTGGTGACCTCAAGAACTACCTGGGGATGGAGGTCACTCGTGACCGCCAGGCTTGCACGATCACCTTCTCCCAGTCCTACATCGACAACTTTCTCAAGCGGTTCGACATGGACTCCAGTAACTTTGTCTCCACTCCTCTCCCACTACAGCATCAGCTGACGGCCCCTCCGATTCCTTCTCCTGACGCCTGCAAGGACCTGTACCCTGAGCTAGTCGGTTCAGTGATGTATGCCATGATGTGCACTTGACCAGACTTGGCTTACCCGGTTAGTGTCCTCTCTCGTTACTGTTAGAATTAGACTGCAAATACCACTTTTGTATTTGTACTTACCCGGTTATATGCTAGTTTAGGTGATGAATGTTCTAGTGGGTTGGGGTGTACTCACAAATCCCAACCTCACCCAATTGTGATCCCCCCAATCTCCAATTACCCAATTGGAGATTCCGGAGATCCCAATGGGGATTCCTTCCAATTCCCCCTTCATCCATTTTCTCTCACCTTGCCATGTACTTATAGAGCCTTGGGCTCCTTACATAATCAATCATTTCAACTCTATTTCTTACATGGTATCAGAGCGACCTATCCGCACACGCGGATCGAGGTCCTAATCTCAACGTGCCCGCGCTACGCGCACTTCATCGTCGGGACATTCGTTTCGAGTCGTCGGAATTTCGACGTGCTCCACTCTGCAGTCGCGCCTCTCATCGTCGACCGCCTTCGCGCTCGACCTCGTTGAATTTCTCATCTCTGAAGCATTCACGCTTCTCATCGTCGATTTCCTCCTCGGTTCTCCTTGGTCGAATCTCTATTTCGACCATCTCTTAAAACTCGTTCTCGAGTTTCCCATTAGACCCCGCCAGAATTGGCGAACTCCCCTCGCGAAATCGCCTCCACGAACGTCTCGCGTCAAGCAAGAGCAGGTACACAGGTTGAAGCGGAGCGGAGCTGGTTGCGGAGCTGGTTGCGGAGCTGGTTGCGGAGCTGTGTAGCTGCGGGACAGGGCCTGGGGGTGTGTGGGGGGGTGTGTGGGTCTGGGGTTAGACATCGGCTCAGATTCAGTTTCAAGTCGGCGTTTTAACGAATTTTCGCCGACGCTATTTCCTACTTAGCGGCATTTTGATAAAGCCGTCAGAGTGATTTTCAGCAATTCTCGTCGACCAATTTCCAGAAGTGCCGCGCTGCACACCTGTTGGTGCATATTCGTTTGCACGTCATCTGTCGTCTGTTCGCATCATTCCGTTGCATGTGTTTTGTGTGCTACATTGTTTGTGTGGTTTGTTGGGTTTGCATGTCTTTGCATGTTTATCTTGTGTTTGTGCAGATGTGCTTGGATTGTGCATGGCATCGAGCACATTCCAACGAGCCAAGAATTGTTGGAATCGGAGCACATATGAAGAAGTTACGAAGAGGTGTTTGATGGATTTGTTACAACTCATTGGAAGTCCTTGGCAGCTGCTACACCAAAGTTGGAGAGCCCTATAACGAGGAGGGACCAGCATGTGTGGGACTTTTGTCCTCACCTTGCAGCTGCAGCATTTGGGGTTTGGAGGCCAACCTGGCACAGTGTGAATTTTGTCTTGCCAGGCTGGCTGAACCTGAGGATGGGGAGTCAAGATTTTGACTCTTGTCATGTTCTTGACCAAGGGCCTCCAGGGTCCTTCCCTTTCATCCTTCCCTTCCATCCCCACCTTCCAACTGTGCTTCAATGCCTTTCCTATCATGCCTCTGAACTTGTAAGCTTCAATCATAGTGACTCTGAGGACTGTCAATTTCTCCTAGGGCAGATTACCCCCCAGTGCGCCAATCGCCATAGCTCACTCGATAAGCTACGGAATCGAGTGATTCAACTTTCAGTCCAAAGCTGACGCTGCAAGCTACAACATATCCGATTTTCAAATTGTTTCACCTGATTGGAGTTTTGGATATAGCTTTTCGAAGGTCGCGAGTTTTCTGGGTGTCATAACGAAGTGCTGCAGAAATTTCCAAGGAGCCATTGAATCATCTGCTTATAGCCTTCTCTAACCAACAAGTGGTATCAGAGCCCATTATCACGCATTTGGGACCTAAAATACGATGGGAGATAAGGAGGACTCTGGTGGAGGTGATACTTCAGTCCAAGGAGGCAGCTCAACCCAAGATTCTGGCATTGCAGCGCAAAGGGGAGCGCGTACAAGCCAGGGGTCACTGCTTGAGGAGGTGCTGAAGAACTTCACCATTGAGAAGTTCTTTGGAGATGGCTATGATGATTGGGCATGGAAGATGCAGCTCTACTTTCGACAAATTGGCCTCTTGAAGCTCATGATTGGAACGGAGCCCAGGCCAAAGGAAATGGCAGAGCGAGCGGACTGGGATGAACGTTCATCTGCTGGGTATTATCTACTGTCACAAAGCTTGGAGCTGAACCAGAGGCATCACATCATGCATCTGCTGCCGGAAACTGATTGTGGGCCCAAGGCATGGGCAGTGCTCAAGGACCTGCACGCTCCGACATCGGTTGCCGCTTCTCTCATGCTGGATCGGGAGCTGTCCATGCTGCGGTTGAGCGAGAATGAACCTGTGCAGCCCGTACTGGACAAGATGAGGGAACTCTACGCGAAATTGGCGATTGCTGGCATCACATACCCCGAGCAGACTAAGTGTCTCAAGATGCTCAGCCTGCTGCCCGAGTCTTGGCTGCAATTTATAAGCGGACTCAGCTTGCCACAAAACCCAAGTCAATGGACATTGGAGTGGATTCGCACCAAGATTCTGGAAGAAGATTTTCGTCGCTATACACTCCGTGGAGGTGATGACAACACCAGCGGCTATGCCATGCAAGGGACATGGAGAGATCGAGGGCGTGGCAATCGCGGTCGCTCTTACTACAACCAAGGTGGTCGCGGGACTTGGAACCAGCGGGGGCGTGGTGGCGCTGGTGCAAGAGGAAGAGGTGGTCACTCCAACAATGACAACAGTGAACCACGCTTGAGGGGAGAGTGCTGGTATTGCAAGGAAGAAGGGCATCCATGGTTTCGCTGCTCTACCAAGCCCGACTGGTGGACCCCTTGGAACCAATCGCAAAAGGGGAATGGAAGAAAGCAACCACATGGAGGTGCCAACATGGTAGCTGATCCTGCTGAAGAAACCTCCAAGGATGACAGAGGAATGGGAAATGAGGAGAGGAATGCTGGACAGTTCTACCATGTGTGTGACAAAGATGACAGTGGCACAGCTGTTGCAAGGGCTGGAGAGGAATTGCACCCGCTTGACATGTGGGTCATGGACTCTGGTGCTGCCTGGACAATGACACCACGCAAGGACTTGCTGGATGCTGTGCGAGCGCCTCCAATCTCCGAAGTGCGCTCAGCATCCGGACATGCAGTGAAGGTCGCTGGAGTTGGTCGAGCTGCATTCAGAGCACCTGATGGTGGACTGGTTGTGCTGAAGGACGTGTTACTCGTACCGGGGCTGAAGGCCAATCTGATATCGCTGCGCAAGCTAGGCCAGGCCGGAGTCAGCACCACCACCAATGGATCCAAAACATTCAAGGGGCTGCGAGGAGATCGTGTGCTATGGGATTTACACGAAAGCAGAGATGTCTTCAGATCCATGTGGCAGATCCCTGTGCTGATATGGGAATCAACAAAGAAGGAGGTGGGAGCAGTAAAGGCGGGATCTGGAGTCCAGGGGGAATGCAATGCAGTTAGTGCTGCAGGAGTGATAGTTTCTGCAAGGTTGGGGGAGACTGATTGGGAAACCGCACACAGGCGTCTAGGGCATGTGGCCATGCCATTGCTGCAGCAACTGCATAAGGAAGAAGCAGTAAAGGGGCTGAAGCTTTCTGGGCAACCAAATGATACCAAGTGCGAGACGTGTCTGCTGAGCAAGTTCACACGGTTCCCCTTTCACGGCGTAGCTGGGAAAAGCAAGGCAGCACTGGAACTGGTGCACATGGACCTGGTAGGACCTTTTCCAGTTCAAGGAAAGAAGGGGGAAAGATACTTCCTAACAATAGTTGATGACTGGAGTCGGCTGATGTGGGCATACCCGTTGAAGCAGAAGGATCATGCTGCCTCAACAATACGAGATGACTGGCTCCCGTTCGTCGAGCGACAATCTGGGCACCCATGCAAGAGCATCAGAACCGACCGAGGTGGAGAGTTTCTAGGAGGAGATCTGACTGCGTGGCTCAAGAAACAAGGCATTGAGCATCAGCTAACGACGTCCTATACCCCTCAGTCAAATGGCGTTGCTGAGAGGGCTAATAGGACCATCCTGGAAACTGCGCGAGCGCTGCTGATCGAATCAGGGCTGGGAAACTCCATGTGGCCTCATGCGGTGAGGCATGCTACAGTGGCAAGGAACCGCGTACTCACAAAGGTGGCTGATGATATGTGGGTGCCGCTGGAGAGGTGGCTTGGAAAGAAGCCTCCAGTGGACATGCTTAGAGTGTTCGGATGCATGGCTGTGGCGGATGTCCCTAAACCGTACAGGACAAAGCTTGGAGCATCTGCACTGTGGTGTGTGCACCTTGGGCTTGCGGCAGGGAGCAAGGGGCGGCTACTCTGGGAGCCCTCGAAGAATGTGCTGTTTGACACTCGGGATGTCAAATTTGTGGAGAACATCATGTATGGCAAGTGGGAGAAGCAGCCGGAGGCAAGGGTCACCCAGCAGCTGGAAGAGATCACTATGCACTTCGATTTGTCCGAACCTGAGGACACCGAAGTCACTGCGCCAACGACAAGCAGTACTGATGAAGGAAGCAATGAGGATATTGCAGCTGATGCTGAAGTCAAGGATCCGGAGCAGCAGCAGCAAGAGGCTTCCAAAACACCAAGTCTGCCAAAGCGAAGAAAACAGATTGGTGGGGGGACAAAGGATTGGGTGAAGGTGAAAGAATGGGTAAATCCAGCCACCTACCCTGCACGTACCAGAATGGCAACGAGAAAGCTGCTGAGCTCTACAAGTGGAGGAGCCACAACTGAGCAACAGCAACAGGCTCAAGGCGAAGATGCAGTGCTGTTCTTGGGTGATGACCAAGAGTCAGATGACGAGGAGCCTGCATACTGCTTTTACGCACCAGTACAACCTCCGAGCATGGATCATGCGCTAGCCGGGCCTCAACGGGGGAAGTGGCTCGTTTCGAGAGATGCAGAGTACAACAGCCAGATGGAGAATCACACATGGGACCTGGTAAACTTGCCAAATGGGAAGAAGGCTATACAGTGCAAGTGGCTGGCAAAAATCAAGACGGATGAGAAAGGAGAGCCATCAGTTTACAAGAGCAGGCTGGTGGCAAAGGGGTTTCTGCAGAAAGAGAAGGAAGACTACAAAGAAGTGTTTGCCCCAACTGCTAAGTCTCCAACGCTACGTGTGCTGCTGGCGGTAGCTGCTGTGCGCAAATGGAAGGTGAAGCAGATGGACATCGTAACCGCTTTTCTGTACGGCATAGTGGAAGAGGAGGTGTACATGGTTCAACCACCTGGCTATGAGGATGGAACCGGTCGTGTCTGCAAACTTAACAAGGCCATCTATGGCTTGAAGCAGGCCCCGAGATGCTGGTACAACAGGCTGGCCAGTGCATTGGAAGGGATTGGATTCCGTGCGAGTGCATGCGACGAGAGCCTATTCCTGATGGGCGAGGGGGAGTCGCTTGTGCTTCTGCTGGTGTACGTGGATGACATCCTGCTCTTCAGCAGCAGTGACAAGGAGATCGATGGAGTGCAGCGGAAGCTCACAGAGCAGTTCGAGTGCAAGTCACTTGGAGAGGCAAGGTACTACCTGGGAATGCACATTGAGCGGGATACTGAACGTGGCTGGCTCAAACTGCATCAGGGACAGTACATCAACACCTTCGCTGAGAAGTCCTCTCTGCAGGAAGAACGGGAAGTGGTTACACCTTTGCCTTCCGAATTCAAACTCATAAAGGCAGCTGAAGGAGAAGGAGTTGAGAGTGAAGACCAGAGGCAATTCCAATCCATGGTCGGGAGCCTACTCTACGCTGCTGTGCATACTCGGCCTGACATCAGCTTTGCTGTGGGACAGCTGGCTCGAGTAGTGCAAAATCCAACAGAAGAGCAGTATGGTGCAGCGGAGAGAGTGGTGCGCTACCTTAAGTCATACCCTACAGTGGGAGTACAGTATTCAGCCTCTGCTCAACTCAGGCAAAAGGGAGTTGAAGTCCTCAAAGAGAAGGGGGAGCAGCTCGGAGAAGGGAAGCTGTTCCTTTCCTGTTTTGCTGATGCCACATGGGCTTCTGAGCATGAGGATTCATCATCAGTTGGTGGATACATCTGCATGGTGGGAGGTGGGCCTGTAAGTTGGAGGTCCAAGAAGCAGTCTGAGACGGCACTATCTTCAGTGGAATCTGAGTACATGGCGATGTTTCATGCGGCAAAAGAAATCATCTGGCTAAGGAGGCTCTTGAAGGAGATTGGCCATGAACAGACTTGTGCGACACCTCTGTTCAGTGACAGCAAGGGAGCCATTGCCATGGCACGCAATGCAGTTCTTCATGGGTTGTACAAGCACATGAGGATCAAGTGGCATTGGCTGCGGAAGGAGGTGAAGCTTGGGACACTGGATCCGATCTACGTGAAAACTCAGCAACAGCCAGCCGACTTCCTTACCAAGCGGCTAGCTGAAGAGCCACACTGGCACTGTGCGAGGATGGCGGGAATGTCCTTGAACTAGAGACGGCGAAACAAGCCGACAGTCTGAGGGGGAGTGTGTTGGTGCATATTCGTTTGCACGTCATCTGTCGTCTGTTCGCATCATTCCGTTGCATGTGTTTTGTGTGCTACATTGTTTGTGTGGTTTGTTGGGTTTGCATGTCTTTGCATGTTTATCTTGTGTTTGTGCAGATGTGCTTGGATTGTGCATGGCATCGAGCACATTCCAACGAGCCAAGAATTGTTGGAATCGGAGCACATATGAAGAAGTTACGAAGAAATGTTTGATGGATTTGTTACAACTCATTGGAAGTCCTTGGCAGCTGCTACACCAAAGTTGGAGAGCCCTATAACGAGGAGGGACCAGCATGTGTGGGACTTTTGTCCTCACCTTGCAGCTACAGCATTTGGGGTTTGGAGGCCAACCTGGCACAGTGTGAATTTTGTCTTGCCAGGCTGGCTGAACCTGAGGATGGGGAGTCAAGATTTTGACTCTTGTCATGTTCTTGACCAAGGGCCTCCAGGGTCCTTCCCTTTCATCCTTCCCTTCCATCCCCGCCTTCCAACTGTGCTTCAATGCCTTTCCTATCATGCCCCTGAACTTGTAAGCTTCAATCATAGTGACTCTGAAGACTGTCAATTTCTCCAAGGGCAGATTACCCCCCAGTGCGCCAATCGCCATAGCTCACTCGATAAGCTATGGAATCGAGTGATTCAACTTTCAGTCCAAAGCTGACGCTGCAAGCTACAACATATCCGATTTTCAGATTGTTTCACCAATTGGAGTTTTGGATATAGCTTTTCGAAGGTCGCGAGTTTTCTGGGCGTCATAACGAAGTGCTGCAGAAATTTCCTAGGAGCCATTGAATCATCTGCTTATAGCCTTCTCTAACCAACAACACGGACAATGGCTTACTCAACCACTTCACTCGCCAACCCGATCCCGCTCCTTCGTCTCGAGCCGGACGGCACATGCTCCAACTACAAGGCTTGGCGCTATGGTGTCGACAAGCACCTCCTCAGTCGCGAGGTGAAGGGGCTCGAGCTCACCGACGTCCTTCTCAACATCGGTGACGGCAAAGAGCCTCCTAAACCCGAGAGGTCCGCCGATCCAGCTAATGACGCCGCCGAAGCAGTTTATGCTGCTGCACTGCTCAAGTACAAGAATTGGGAGAAGGCAGATGGTGCGGTCATTAGTGTCTTCATGGGCACCACTCCTCCCGAACTCGTCGAAACCTACCACAACTACCCGTCTGCCAACGCCATTTGGCTCTACCTAGAGGATCGCTTCCTGAACAAGACTGCAGTGGGAGTTGCTATACTCATCCCCAGCATGTTCCAAGTGCGGCTCGAGGACTCGCCAGGCATGGCGGACTATGTCACCAGGGTGCAGTCCATTCATGGTGAACTCAAACAGTTGGGGATAGTCTTCCCCGAGCAA